TGTGCACTTGTGCACGTGCCCATCCTGTGTCGGCCTGGCTTGGGTTGGTGAGGAAATTTTTAGTATTGGTTCCATCTGTTTTTCAAGCGTTTTTGCCTCTTTTCTGCAGGTTCGCACCGTGTCCAAGTACCAGCTGGAGCTTCTCAGGGAAGCCGTGCACGACGTAAGTCCATCGGTCTCGCTAACTACTTGTTAATTTCCACACGCGTTATGAGTTTGCTCGTACTTTTGCCTCTGTTTTTCTACTGGAGTGGAAAGTAAATATATCGCTGCCACTGCGCACGTCCCCGTACCTGTTGGTCAAACTCAAACATGGCTGGAATCAAAAGCAATTTGAACGTATAGTGTGTACGCTGGCTTTGGTTTTTGTCGGACTGACCAAATCTCGTCTTTGCGTGTTTTTACCTGCTGCAGGACATGGAGAACAATGCGAGGCCGCTTCAGGAGGCGAACAACAGACACATCAGCATCTTCCGTCCTAAGCCCGATGATAAGCATTATTAGGGCCCGTTTCTAGCCTCATATTAGTGATGTGTACATATGGGCTCGACATGGGGGCACCAGTAGGACACGTTATTAGTGATATGATTCAGTTCGAGTGAAATTAAATTTACAAATTCGATAGCTTGTATGGTTGATATTCTATTTGTAATTCTTTCTATTTAAGTTCCTTTGTTATATGAGTAAATAAAAATGCTTATTCATGTCCACTTTCATGGGCATTAGGCATGTTCATAAAATTTTGTTTTTTCCATGTTGATGTGGGAATCAATTTGACTTGAATACTAAACTGCCATTACATGAAAAAACACAATAGTGATCGGTCACTTATCTATCCTTCGCATCAGGCCAAATATTGATACATATTGCAAGGAATGACGGACCCAACAGAGCGCGGATTGAATTAGGTCAACTAAAAACTAAACTAGGTTCCTTGCTAACTCGCTCAACACAAATAAAATCATTCTACCACCGATGCTCTCTCTTCTGTCTGTCATGGCAGCGGTGATGCTGACCCCAAGCGTAGGTGGCGCCGGTGCATGCTGGCCAAGGCAAACAATGGCTTGGATAGTGGCTGCTATGCTAACAATTCTACATGAATTCCTTTTGTGTATTGTTCCTTGGTGGTTATTTTTACTTGTGCTTGTAGGTCATCAAAAGTAAGGGGATATTTTGACAAATGGGGTTTGGCCTTGTGATTCTTCTCATGCCAACTGACCTTAATCTTTACCTTTTAGTCGTTTTTGATAACTTGAATGAGATCTTGTCTAATTGGTATCTCTTCTCGGCTCTTAAGGTTCTCCTCATCCCAAGTAACTATGGTCATAGCTTTCTACATAGATTTTTATCACTTGGATGAAATTTTCGGTTTTTGTCTTTCAAACCATTTCTATGTGCATGGATGTTGTCAACACGCTCATCAAGGGGGAGAATGTGAAACCAATGATATCTTAAGGGAGAGATAGTGTAAGGTTACCTTAACGGGGAGAGTGTGAAAACCAAGTTGATAAGGACATTTGTTTACTTGTGATGAGTGACAAATGATGAAATAACTTTGTGCCTTTTGGGTTGCATGAAGCTTTTGTGTCTCTTATTTTACTCTTGAGTTGTGTTTATCCATTGCCCATTATTTGGGAACGAGATTTTTTTATTAGAACTTTCATGATCCTTTCTCATATCAGGTAGCCTTGTGTTTGCTTTTACTTAACTTTTAAGCACTTGAATGATAACTTTTTCCTTTCAAAGTTCTTCTATGAGCTTTGGTGATGGTCAATACATTCATCAAGTAGAGATTGAAAGACAGTTTTTTTTGACTAACATTAAAATTAAGAGGAAACATTAGACCAGTGATCACGTTGTCACTCAATGACCAAAATCACTAAGGAACCTTGCTGGGTGCCATTTTTCTTAATTACACGACGCTCCAATGATAGTGCTGCTTCGTCCTCCATTTGGCACTCTTGTCCATCCTTCGCTCGTCACTTGTGCCATTCGTTCATGATTCTTGACATTTTAAGATCTGGTTGTAGTGGTGTGTGCTAGTTGTAGAGGTTTTTGAGATCTAGTTGCTCAATTATTTTTTGTTGATTCTTAAGATTCTTCGATATGATTACTGAGTGCATTCTTGGTGAAGGAAACGTGCGTGTTCTTTGTGGATGAATGATGAATATGGCTACTAAATCTTGGATGATCTACTTCTGAGGTTTTGAGCAGTACTTTTACATCCGCTAGGTACTCATTTTTTCTATGCAAACAATTACCACATGCGGATGATGTTAACTTGCCGCCAATGCTAATAGAAATTTACAGGTGGCTGGCATAATCTGTACGATAGTGAAAACCAATTTATATAGGCGGGTCATGCAAAGTTGCTGCCAGTGAAAACTAACGGATATATTTCTTTTACGACAACAGAAATGCATTATCTTCACTGCTGGTTCAAAAAAACCGCAAGTGAAAATAGAAAAAGTACCATCAATAGAAATTATTTCTATACTGACGAGTGAGACACAATGAGATGAAACTCAAAGACCATTTTTCAGTAATGCTAAGAATCAGACGTGTGTCCGTGGCTCCACGTAGGACGCCCCTGTTGGTGGATCTGACGTCCAGAAGGCTATCTATCCTATCCGTTCCTATCCGCTCCCTCTGTTCCCCTTCAGTCACCGCAGATTAAAAAAATCTCACGATGATACTGCCCTTCGCGACCGCGCTCCGCCATGCCTCCCGCACGCCTTCCTCTCCACCGCGCCTCCTGCGGGCCTTCCCTTCCACCGCCGCCGCGCGCCGCACCACCGTGGCGTGCTCCCCCCGTACCACACAGCCGCTGCCACCTCGCCGCGCGAGGTCGCACCCACCTGACTGCTGTGTCAACTCCACCGCTCGCCGGGGGCACCACGTGCGCCCCTATCTTCGGGGCAGCGCCGCCGCTCACCCGGGGCCGCGCCGCTGCCCGCCCGCTGTCATCCCCCTTCTCCACCATGACCACATAGCCGAATCTCGTTGTATGAGCTGCAACAGGGCACGAGCAAGCAATAGCAGGGCGAGTAGGGCGGGCATGCATGCTTCCGATACGTGTCTGTATATGGGGGCATGCAACCAGAGGGAGCACGTGGGAGATAGCCACCCGACGTGGGACCCATCGCAGAGGCAGTCTGGAGCGTTGCCATTTTGTGCAGATCCGTTTTGGTCACTGGCGGGCCTAGCTGACAGCCTAGGGCAGGTGCGCTCTGCTGGCTGTTCGGCCGGACGTCCTCTAGTGTGCAGGGGCGAGTGCGCCGCGTGGGCCGCACGGGCGAGCAAGCGCTGGGCTGAGCGGCAGGCGCAGCGTGGGCGTTTGGACGGGCACTCCTGTTCGGACTTCCGGGTCCTAGTAAGCCCCAACATTTTTCTACCATCCATCCATGGTACACAGCCGAGAGTTGAGAATACAAAAGAAATCATAGGGCTTGCAAACCACGAGAAAGAAACAAAATACAGAGACGGAACTTTAAGAACATGCATGTCCTAGTCATTCATGCGATTAAACTGAAATATCCACAAAAATTCTGAAAATATTTTGCAAGCATAGGACAAGATGCCACCCTAACGTCAATGGTAAGTCAGATCGACCAAACGGCTGAGGCTTTCAACAACCCGGTGTTGAATCAAACGTCCAGCAGTGAGATATGTACATCAGAAAGAAGGCTCATGAAATCCACACTCTCACGCCGTCAAGGTATATCACAGGTCCCCAGTTGAAGGAGCACAGATCTCTCCAGTACAATTTGACTGTTTGATCGGTTCAGAGATGATATCGGCTTGCTAAAACTTTGGCTAAAACTGATTAAAAAATACTATTCTAACTAAATTATTGTGAGAAAAAAATACTGTTCCGACTGAATAGGTAATAGGTAAAACAGAATGGGGCCTTTACTCGGTACAACACCATGTGGCATGCGCAGAATAAAAAAAATGGTCTAAAAGCAATGCTGCAGAAAGCCAGAAAGTGCAGGTAGAGCGTCTTTCGCTTCCGTACTCCGTGACGCGTAAGCAATTTTCAGACGCCACCAACCAGGAACCGGCAGCTACCGTTTACCTGTGCGGCGTACTTGCCCGTGCACACGGTAGCAGGTTTGAGTTTCGAAGCGGCATTTGCATTGCACACGGTAGTTTTTGCCGACGCGTGCGCATTTGAACACACGCTAGCTAGTTGCTTGCTGGTGTACTGTCAACTCCGTAATAGCCCGTGACCAAACAAGGTTTAGGTTTAGGTTTACAATGCAAAGGGGAAGAAACCTGGTAGGGGAAGAAACGGCCAGTTGATGGAGCAGCCACGCCACATAATGCAGTTTCGAGAACGCCGTCCATGGCCGATGACTCCACCCCATCACCCATGGATGATGGATCGAGCACGAACGGCGTTTATTTCGAGTTGACAAGTTACCAAATCACGGAGCATATGAAGCCTAAAAAACTGGTGTTGAGACCAAATATCCAATTTGTCGGCCACACATGTAACGCGTGTAAGTACGGTAAAGTTAAATGTGCTCTCAAGGACATGTGCTCTCACCATCTTCACTATTTGATTCGCAATGAGAAGTCCATGTTGATAGAGTCACGTTGTGGTACACCATACTGGCAGGACAAACTTTTTCATTTGCAGAAGCCCGATCCGTGGCCCGTCAGTCTGTCTGTGCTCGTGCTTATGTTCCCGACTTGCATAGATGTTATTATATTACACCGAGATCTGATCACTAGTATTTGTCTTTCCAAAACTAATACGCATGCTATTCTGTAATTTAGACTATGCAAAAAGGATTACGACGCGGTAGCTCGGAAGTCCCCGGTTCTATCTAGTCTTGTCAGTAGACTAGTCCACGCTGCCTCCCTGGCCCACAGCGTCCTCTCTATTTTACGTATATATTCGGTGCGGGGAACGCCTCTTCTTCCCAAATCAGCTCAACGGCCAAAAACACCAACCAGCGCGCACAGAGAGGCGAGGCTACAGACAGAAGAGCATGGGTCCAGCTCGCCATCTCCGCGGCCTCACCGCCGCCGCGGCCCTCCTCGCGGCGGCCCTCGTGCTCTCCGCCGCCGTCCCGGCCGCGAGAGCCCAGGAGGAAACCGAGCACGAGGAGGAGTTCAGCTACGTGGTCGGCGACGAGAACGGGCCGGAGCACTGGGGCAGCATCAAGGCGGAGTGGGCCAACTGCAGCGCGGGGCGGATGCAGTCCCCGATCGACCTCTCCCACGAGCGCGTCTCGCTGGTGCGCTCCCTCGGCTACCTCACCCACTCCTACCGCCCCGCCGAGGCCTCCATCGTCAACCGCGGCCACGACATCATGGTATGTCCCTATGTGACAGCAGCAAGGCGTTAGTGGTTCGCTGGTGGTGCTAGGATCATTGATGACTGATGTCAGGCTGATTGATTGATTGATTGATTGCAGGTGAGGTTCAAGGGCGACGCTGGCAGCCTGGTGATCAACGGCACGGCGTACTACCTGAAGCAGATGCACTGGCACTCGCCCACCGAGCACACCGTCGACGACCGCAGGTGAGACTCGTCGTCCGTCGTCGTCGTATTCGAGCTACTAAAGCGTTGGCGTGGACCACCTAATTACTGTATTACTACTTGCTTTATTAAATGTCACTAACAAGCAAGCAAGCAAGCAATTAAGCGGCGGTAGGGTAGTAACGGCTTCGAGATGTCCGTTCGCGTGCGCTCGCAGGTACGACATGGAGCTGCACCTGGTGCACGAGACCCTGGAGAACAAGGCGGCGGTGATCGGCATCCTCTACGAGATCGGCGGCGAGGACCCGTTCCTGCAAGCGCTGGAGCCGTCCATCCACCGGATCGCCGACAGGAAGGACAGGGAGGAGCCCGTCGGCGTGGTGGACCCGCGGCGCGCGCGCGGCAGGGCCAGCGTCTACTACCGCTACATGGGCTCCCTCACCACGCCGCCCTGCACCGAGGGGGTCATCTGGACCGTCGTCAAGAGGGTACACGCTTTATTTGCATTAATTTCTCATCAAATTCCCAACTTTTCGCCTCCAGAGATCATCCATCCATTCCATTCCATCATGACATTATTATTCGATCGTGACTGGCGCTGACCGATCGACCAACAGTCGTGGCGCTGACCGATCGACCAACAGTCGGCATGTCGGTTGGTGATCGATTTCGCGCGTGTTTAGTTACCAAAAATCTTAAAAAATGCTATAGTATCTATCACATCGAATGTTTACGGCCTGTGCATGGAATATTAAATGTAGACGAAAAAAAACTAATTGCATAGTTTGGTGGAAAATTACGAGACGAACGTTTTGAGCCTAATTAGTTCATGTTTAAACACTAATTATCAAATAAAAATGAAAGTGCTACAGTAGCCCCAAATTCCAACTTTCCGAAACTAAACAAGGGCGCGCTGGATTTTTGTAGCATTTTTGCTGATTGTTTTTGAATGTTTTGTGCAGGTTCGCACCGTGTCCAAGCACCAGCTGGAGCTTCTCAGGGAAGCCGTGCACGACGTGAGTCCATCATGTCCCTACCTTCTTTCAAAAACTTTGACCAGCATGCTGCAGGATATCTAGGCCTGGTTTAGATTGAGGTTGAAAATCAGTATTTAGTATTGTATCATTTTTATTTGTATTTGACAATTATTGTCTAATCATGGCCTAACTAGGCTCAAAAGATTCGTCTCGTAATTTACAATCAAACTGTGTAATTAGTTATTTTTTTTTTCTATATTTAATACTCTACCCATGTGTCTAAAGATTTGATGTGACGAAGAGAGAGTGAAAAACTTGTAATCTAAACAAGGCCTAGAAGGCGCCAGGAAAGCTGGTTTTTGTTTGTTTTTTCTCAGCCTGACGCCCTGACCAAATTTTTGTCTCGCGTGTGTTTACCTGCTTTCAGGGCATGGAGAAGAACGCGAGGCCGGCTCAGGACGTGAACGACAGAGATATCAGCATCTTCCGTCCTAAGCCCCATAAGCACTACTAGCATAGAGGTTCCATGGTCCAGCAGCGTAGTTAGTAGTATCAGTGATGCATGAGCTGAACACCCGTGGTCGGTGGTTCAGTCAGACCTTCATCAGAATAATATATATATACATATGAGTTACATTCAATTGTTGGATGGTTCAGTGTTTGGGAGAGATATGTATGTTGTATATGATTGCAGTTTTGTTTTGTAATTCTTTCTACCTCTGTTATGGGGCTAAATAAACTAAGAGTGCATCACCTTCAGGTCCGCTCTTCTTCTTCAGAAAAAAGGAAAAGAAAACTTGTTGATGCGCATGTGGGACTCGATTTGATTATTGTTGAGTACTTGGCACCTCAAACATGACTGTCTAACAGACACGGTCTTTGTTAAAAACATAAGAAATATTTTGAGAGTATATGTCAGAAACATGTAGGATGCTTATAGTAATAAATGAAACAGAGATAGTACAGAGTACTGTAATACAGACCAAAATTCGGGTCCGATCGAGAGGCCTGCTGGGTAGTAATGCGAGCCAATAACTCCAACAGCTCCCACTGTCTTGTTAACGAATCAAACAAAGAATATGATAGTAACTATGAATTAGTTCTTGATTGAACACTCATTTATTGATTCCCCGAAAGTCCCCTGCCCAAATCAAATTCTCAAATTCGCCAACTAAACACAGGTGCTAGATGCTGGAGGTAGGAGTACTGTAATACAGACCAAAATTCGGGTCCGATCGAGAGGCCTGTTGGGTAGTAATGCGAGCCAATAACTTCAACAGCTCCCACTGTCTTGTTAACGAATCAAACAAAGAATATTTTTTAATTAAAGAGTTCTTAATTAAAGTTTCATTTATTGATTCCCCTTCTGTCCCCTGCCCAATCAACTGTAGCAAAGCCAAGCACAGCAAGGTGCATGCTGGAGCTGGAGGAAGGAAACGAAAACAAGGACAGCCACGACCAAGGACCTGACGAAGCAGACGACCACGCAGACCTCGCGCCATGTGCCTTGGACCAAACAAGTCCAGTTTTCTACAGGGCAGGTCTCGGGCAGCGCAGCTCTGCTTTTCAGACCAGAGTGCCCCATTCTCGTTCATATTTGAACGGCGAAGACAAAGGCAAATGCGTGAGTTACCGTTGGCGAGAGAGACGACAAATGCGTGCTTCTGCCGCGGTTGGTGGTAGAAAAATGCAGTCGCGGTTGGTGCCGCAATAGCAAAATACAAACGGCCTCATCACGCCGGGCGACGAGTCTCTTCTGAATCTGTACTAAGAGTAACAGTGCAGTGGAACAGCGATTAACTGAGGGGGTAAACAAGCTCCGTGGATGGAAGCGGTCTGCTCGTGCTGGCGTGCTCGGCTTAGGTGACGATCGGCACCGACCGACCACCCCTCCTCCTCCCGTTTCGGCACCCGCCACCCGGTCGCTTGTCTGTTGTCATCTCGGACTTGTTTATGTCCTTTACTCGAGGATAGAAAAATCCGGTCAATTAAATCAAATTCCTAAAAAAAACTAATTGCAAAAATCACCAAAACTTTTATTATTGGTCCATAATTAGACACTAATTGCCGAATACAAACGGTGCTGATTTCCAAAATATTAAAAAAAATTTGGATCTAAATGGGGCCTTACTCGAAGACAGCTGACACCTCTTATTTTATTCAAAACAATCTTCTAATATTGTTGGCCAAAAATATTTGGTCCTTGAATAATCCATTTCATCCTATAAGCTGGTTGATGAGCTCCACATATCCCTTTATGTACCTCACCCATCAACACTTTAGCTTCTTCTTGATTTAAGCATTTGTAATAGAGAAATATGATCTGATCATCTAGAAGCTCTATTACAAGCAGTTGGTGGTAGAAAAATGCAGTCGCGGTTGGTGCAGCAAGGTACTCCATCGACCGTCTTGTAATAGAGCTTATCATCTAGAAAGACATACTTGATCGATTTATACCTTAGTTTGCGATGGATTCTTTAAGGTAATCGGTTATTTCAACTCTCCAATCATTAGTCAAGGTCTCACTACTTAGGATCTCTTGAAACACTCGATAACCTGACGCACTTTGAGCCAATCGATTAGCCTCTTGATTCTGTGCTCTTGAATATGCTGAAGAGAAATATGAGGAAACTCCTTGAGTAACCTCTAGCATTCATCATAGTATCCCCTCTGAATATCATCTTTACATTCATATAGGCCGATCAACTGATTAATAATTAACTGTGAATCTTCAAATACTTTAATTGCCTTGGCCTTTACTTGATGAAGAAGTTGAAACCCCTTAAGAATAGCTTCATATTCTGCTTGATTGTTGGTAATCATTGGTTTAGTCGGAAAAGCAAACTCAAAACTTGTCCCTCGAGGTGAAATAATAACAATACCAATGCCACCACCTTGCTTGCATGATGATCCATCAAATAATAATGTCCAAGGTATCGGCTCTACATAGCCAATACTCGGCTTATGATGCTGGGTGACAAAATCGGCTATTACTTACCCCTTGACTGCTTTAGCCGATTCGTATCTCAAGTCAAATTCCGACAATGCAAGAATCCACTTCCCCATTCTCCCATTTAATATTGGTATTGATAGCATGTGTTTGATCACATCAGCCTTAGAGACAACTGTACACTCAGCCGATAACAAGTAATATCGCAACTTGGTGCAAGAGAAATATAAGCACAAGCATATTTTTTTAATAGGAGAATATCTTGTTTCTGGATCAAAAACCTTCTACTTAGATAGAAAACAACTCATTTTTTTCCTTCAAACTATTGCATTAAGACCAATCCAATTGTCTGGTTATCAGCCGACATGTATAGCTTAAAAGGCTTACCTTGCTAAGGAGAGACCAGCATGGGTGGACATTTCATATATTCTTTATCTCCTCAAACGCCTTTTGTTGTATGTCACCCCCATTTAAATTATGGATCATTTTTTAACTTCAACAAAGGAGAAAATGGCAGAACCTTTTATGACAAATTTGAAATAAACTTCCTAATAAAATTAATCTTTCCAAGCAAAGATTGTAACTCTGTTTTAGTAGTCGGGGCACTACCTCGTTAATTGCTTTCGTACCTTTTTGACCAATTTTGATTCCTCTCTCGTGGATCAAAAAACTCAAAAATTATTCAGCTGACACTCTAAAGGCACACTTATTGGGATTCATCTTTAATCCATGTTTTCTTGTGCACTCCAAAGTCTCCCGCAAATCAGTTAGATGTTCCTTGTACCCTTTAGATTTTACCATTACATCATCAATGTAGATTTCAATAATTCTGCCGATCAACTTATGAAAAATATAATTCATCGCTCTCTGATAAATTGCACCAGCATTCTTTAAAACAAAGGTCATCACAACCCATTCAAATAAACCGATTGCGCTAGGACACCTAAAAGTTATTTTTGCTATGTCTTCCTCAGCCATAAAAATTTGATTATATCCTGCATTGCCGTCCATAAAACTAATAACCTTGTACCCGGCTGCTGCATCTACCAACATATCGGCTATCGTCATCGGATAACCATCCATGGGTCTAGCCTTGTTTAGATCTCTAAAATCGATGCAAACTCTTAACTTCCTATTTTTCTTATACACAGGAACAACACTCGATATCCACTCTGCATATCGGCACGGTCGGATAAATATTGTTTCTAGTAATCTTTCAATCTCCCTATTGATATCATCAAGAACATTTGGGTTAAATCTCCTCAAAGCTTGTTTAAACGGTCGATATCCAGATTTGATTGACAATCGATGTTCAATAATTGATCGATCTAGACCAAACATCTCATAATATTTCCAAGCAAAACAATCTTTAAATTCCTTTAATAAATCTATCAACTCTTGCTTATACTCAAGATCCAACTTAGCACTTACATACGTCGGCCTAGGCCTATCTCCAGACCAATATCTATCTCCTCTAATTCATCGGCCGACGTAAAGTCATATCCTAGTTTACCATCTATTGGATTATCCATTAAAACAAACTCTTAGAGCCGATTGCTTGGATCGGATGTTGGCTTTTATCATTGATCTTAGTGAAGCCTCCTTCCCATAGCTTGCTAGAAAAACACTCAAAGTCTTCCAGTTCCTAATACATTGGATCAGCTATTACGATACTTACAGAATCATCAACATGAACCAGCTCAACATCATCTCCATGCCACTGAATCATGCATTGATGCATAGTCGATGGTACACAACAATTTGCATGAATCCAATCACGACCGAGGAGTAAACTGTATGAACCTTTTCTATCAATGACGAAGAATGTGGTGAGCAAAGTCTTACTTTCGATTGTCAATTCGACGTTTTATTGCCCCCTAGTCTTGGATGCATTTCCCCAAAAAATCCTTAAGCATCATATTAGTCTTAATCAAATATTCTGGTCCCTTGCCAAGCTTGCGAAAAGTAGTATAAGACATAAGATTAACAGAAGCACCTTCATCCACCAACATTTTGCTCATTGGCTTCCCATCAATGAAACCTTTTATATATAAAGCTTTTAAGTGTCGATGCTTGACTAGCTTATCGAATATAGCTTGTTGTATAACTATCAACTTGGCAACTATCTCCTCATACTCCGATTCATCAAATCCGAATAGACTTCTTGGTCTACTGGAGCTCTAAATTCTGACGGCAACAAAAATTCTGACATCTCTCTCTGCTCATATCGGCTCTTCTGTTGGTTACGACGCCTTTTAATCTCTCTATATTCATTAGTCGATATTTGCATATTTGGATCGATGGTTCCAGGTTTCTTTGGCCCTAGTTGATATTAGGACTTTAGTCTTCCCTTTGAGTAACTTAGCATCAACCATGTTCTGATCTCTTGAGAAAGGATTATCATTAACTTTCATCTTCCGAGGTGCATCAAATTTAAGCTTTACTTAATAAATAGCCATCTGTATATGTTGCCGAAAAATTCTACACTCGTTAGTAGAATGAGAAGTAGCGTTATGAAACTTACAGAACTTCTTATTCTTCAACTGATCAGGAGGTAACATAAC